CCATAAAAGAATAATACAAGTCCTTTCTCTGGTCTGAGTCAGTATTGGAAATTCGTAATAGAATTCACGTCTTACGCAAATGTATCACAAGGTTAGACTTAAAAGTGGTAGTGCCCGCTTTAACATCTTAGCACGAATGGGCCGGCACGCCCGGTGTAATACCACGACCACACAGAAGACAGGCGTGAAATGGAAGCAATTCCGTGTTTCGTCTGATGAGTGTGGTGCCGGAGGCCTAATTTAAGTCCCTTTCTCTTTACCACCCTTTTCTTATAAGGAAAGGATGGGAAGAGGAAGTGGATTTAACGGAGGAGGAGATACATAGGAAGGGGAGATATCCTCTTTATGTGCGTCTCCTCCTCTGTCGGATAAGGGTAGGCAACGCATCTGCAATTGCGGATGTCTATGGGCAGCGGTCGCTTCGCCATTTTGGCGGATTCAGGTGGCCGCTTGCTCGTTTGCCACCTTTTTTATAAAAAAAAAAAAACTTTCATTTAGCTACTTATTTGTTGTTTTAATAACATTAAAAACCACTTAGTTTTATACTAAATGCAGTAGAAGGTCCTATTATCATAAAGAGTTTTAACAAGTTAAATGCTACGATTTACACCCATTGAGTTAGTATTTGAAACTAGCTGTTCCCGTGCGGCTTCATCCGCATGAAATTATGAAAATTTTATTTTATTATTTACGTTTGTCAAATTATCAATAGCAAATGTGAAATGACATGACATGGAAAAACTTTGCAATCTTGCTTTCTTGATGTTGGCAACAACCTTTGGTCTCTTTCCCGCATTAGGTTTATCCAAAATATTTACCCCCTAAGTTTAATGGCGTGAAAAAATATAGCCTAAAGCATGACGTACGTGTAGGGCTTTTTATTAAGAAAAGGATTATTCAAAATTATGCTGTAATTGCTGACATCTTAGGCAACAAAGAAGTGTGTGTTTACGCTTTATTATAATAGTATAGACATAGATAGATAGATAACTAGAAATGTTCATCTGATGCTGTAGCGGGCGTAAAGGACTTCGTTGTTGATCATTTGTTTTCTACTTAACGCCGCTAATAAAGAAAAAGTATACCTTATTATTAACCGCAATGCAAATACATATTTTGACTAATCTGAGAAAAGTTGAACTCTAACATCATAGTTTACATTTGCAAGTAATTTATTATCTTTCATCGTATGAACGATCATATTGAGTAGTTAATCCAGCCCTAAGGGAGATAAATTAAGGAGAAAAAAATTAAGGAGAGGGGAGGTGGTGAAGTAATATATGATAATGTCTTTGATATAAAGATTTAAATTCTGTAGACTTATTAAATCATTTCGAGAATGTTCTAGATATCCAAATTGTTCAAATCTTGCATTTTTTATTATTTAAAATGCAAATTGATCCTCGACTTTGCCTTTTTTTATTTCATTAATATGGTGTTTGGACGTAGAGGTTTTGCCAGGTTTATTGTAGCTTTTAGTTCGCTAATGTTTTTTAAAATAATTTAAAAAGATTCGTCAATAATGTTTTGCAGTGAGACACATTAAAACATTTATCACATTTTTTTATTCACTGAAATCACCGTATTATTGTTGTTAATAAATCTGCTTAATTTTTTCGAACAGTGTTAGATTTCTAGTCTTATAAAATTATCACCAGAGATATCTTTTGTTTTTATTCTAATTTGCTTGTGTTCTCGATTGTTTTAATTAGCCTTTTTGACATTGATAAATAATGTGATGTTATTGACTCTTAAATAAAAAAGCCATCTTATAAAGCAAGCCACACACCTTCAGATTTAACTCAACAGATTAGGTATACAGTTTGTAGGTAAAGTTTTATCTGCCGTTAAATAGTATAGTGTGTTGCCGGCTTAATATTTATTAAATTATGCTTGTAATAATTAGACATTATTTCATATTATATAACAAATAACAAGTTGTATGTAAAATAATACAGAGTAATTTTTATTGTAAAAACAATTCGACATTCATAGTATTGCCCGAAAATCGTAATATCCTATACCAAATATATGTAACTAATATTAAAAAAATAAATATGAATTATGGTTATATAAATGGGCGACTATTAATTATTACAAATATAAATATTTTAATGTAAACTTTTACATAGTTTACTAAGTAACATAGTAAACACTCTCAGATATCATGAAAACGGAAATCTCGTTGCAATCCTAAACGCTACTGGGAGGACTGTTCCCGAAGTCTGCAGGCTTGTTAAAATACAAACATAGTTTTCACAATATTACACAATAAAAACCATTTATTAAAACATTACCTAATAAACACAATTATCAAAGAACTACTATGATATCGTTAATTTTAAATTACACGTTAGATAGTATTTAATAATTATACACAGTTAAAAATGCTTTAGGGTACCTTACAATAAATATTCTTAACTAGCTTTCGCCCGCGACTCCGTTCGCGTGGATTTAAAAAAATCAAAACTGTGTAGCCTATATGTTCTTCCAGACTATCCTCTACATCTATACCAAATTTCATCGAAATCCGTTTAGGCTACAAACTCTAACAAACATCAATCCATCCATCTAAACTTTCGCATTTATAATATTAGTATGATTATAATTGTAGCTTTGACAGACAGACGTCTAACACGATTTGAGAGAAAGGATTCGAAAATTTCACCGAGATAAGTCATACTGATTTTGGTGACAAAATATCTTTGCAATGTTTGCGCTGTGCCTCCTTCTCCTCCAGTATTTTTTGACCAACTTCCCAAAAGAAGACGGTACTCAATTCATCTGCATGTTTTTTTTTGTATACGTTCGTATTTTTTGAATTCTGTAATCACTAACTGTGACGGAATTAACACATACAATCCAGAATCTTCGTAGAGGTTTAAAAGTATATTTTTTTTACACCACCAGTTTAATGCATTATCTACTGAACCCTTCATTTAAGATGATGTTACGGTTAGATTTTTTATCTGTTTATTTTCTTATATTAATATTTCTATGTTTCTATCTACACAGTAGTTATTGTTAAGTGTGAGGGGATATACGATCGTCACATCTGTCGAGGTAAAAAATTATTTATTTTATTAATTAATCTGTGCTTCATTTTTTTTGGTCTATACTTCCAAACTAATATTTGTATTTTTGTATATATTGAAATAACTGAAAAACTACTGGGCCGATTTTAAAAATTCTTTCACCGTTACAAAGGTAATTTATCTGTGAGTACCATAGGCTATATTTTTTAATATAATATAGATGCGTTTCAATTAAAACACTGGCATTTAATTCTTAAGAATGACTTTAATGCATAAAATTGAAGAAAGACGCATTTATTTTTCATATGTGAGAAATTAAAAACAAAATAACTTATTAAAATTTAAGTAACTTGTTATAACTTTCTTACGTATAGCCTTATACTTAGCAAGGCCGCTCTTACACAATAATCGAACAGGTAGTTATTCGAAAAATCTTATAAATGTTTATTGTTAATTGTTCTTGTATACTTTTTTTATTGTTGGAAGTAGAAATGTTCCTTATATGGTTTTATATTTTTCTTAATTGTTTTAACTACGAATTATTGTCATTCGTTATTAAAATTTTCCAGTGTGTTGTTTTAAATTTCATTGAAATTGTTTAAAATTCCATACCAAAACTAACTGTTCCCGTGCGACTTCACACGCATGAAATTATGAAAATTTTATTTTATTGTTTACATTGGTGAAATTATCAATTACAAACGTCAAAATGACATGACATGATGACAATTTTGCTTCCTTGACATTGGCAGCAACTTATGGTCTCTTTCCCAAATTAGGATTTTCATCCAAAATATTTACCTCCCAAGTTTAATGGAGTTAAAATATATAGCCTAAAGCGTGACGCAAGTGTAGGGCTTTTCATTGAAAAAGGAATTATTCAAAAATATGGTGTAATTGCTGACATTTTAGGCAACGAAGAAGTGTGTGTTTACGCTTTATTATAATAGTATAAATATAGACTAGTATAGATTATACGTACGTTAATCTTTGAATTTTTTTTAATTAATTAGATTCGTATTGAAATTAGTTACGATTGTTCATTTTGTTTTTTTGTAATCCTGTTAAATTAACTGTAAGAATTTTAATATTCACAAATACATATTTCGTAGTGGAAGCCGTCTGTATACGTCCTGCCGGTCAATACGTTTCTTGAATTAAATTACCAGTACTCTCACAGCGCGTCTTAAAATAACTTGAGTGCCATCAAATTTTACTTGCAATGTGGGTGAAGTTTACACTTCCGTTGAGTGAGATAATTCACGTGTTATATTCAGACGAGAAGTTATTATTAGCTCAAACCCTCTTAGCTAAACTAGCTCATATATTTAGGTCTATGGCTTCAAGTATGACAGTTCGATGGTGAAGAGGTAGGCCGATGATCAAGAGAGCTAGTAGTAAAAATGTTTTCTTTAATTCCAAAGAGGTTTAATGAAAAATTGTCATTTTGGAGTTACCTATACGTGTCTTTAGGGATTGTCTTGCTGTTTTATTTTAGAATTGTCGCTTCTCTAGAGGGGAGCCAACCCTACCTCTCCCCCTTTGTAATCAATGTAATTATTACATCTTACTTCTTACTAATAATATACAAGCGAAAGTTTAGATGGATGGAAGGATGTTTGTCACATTATGTAGCCTAAATTGCTGAACGGATCTCCATAAAATATGGCATACATGTAGAGGATAGTTTGGAAGAACACATAGCTTACATTGTTTTATTCAATTCTACGCGGACAGAGTCGCGTGTGAAAGTTAATTTTAATCATAATATCGCGAAATCCAATGCACATAAATCAATTAAGTACAACATTCACAATTAAACAATAAAAAATATTCATTTACTCAACGCATAATCAATGAGGTGGCGCTTGAATAACAAAAACAACATTAAAACAGCCGCTCAGAGACAAGTCGTGTGTCAAACTTGGCTGACAATGTGGACTATTTATAAACGATACGCCGGCGAAGCCACTTATTGCATTCAGTATCCGAACGCGGACGCACGCATGCTATATAAAATCGATATAAAATCATCGATAAAATATTGATTATCTGTAATTTAATAGATTAGTGACGTGACAGTGGAACAATTTTTTGTGTAATCGATTCTTGTTATAATGTGAAAATAGGACAATTCGAATTCTATTTTTAACACTTCGATAACTGCGTAAGTTGTTTTTTTGTTTTTAAACAAATTTATGATACTATTTTTTACACTTATATTTGTAATAACAAATGTTATTTAAAAATGTTATATTAATAATGGTGATGATGAAAATTTAAAAATACCCTACTTTTATTAACATCAGTAGACGTTTCTATAAATCCGAGCTTAGTACTTGAAATTTCTGTAAGTACTTTTTGAGTATTATTCGTTCATAAAAGAAACATCCGTTACACTAAATTTGTATATTTTTCAAACGCTTTATCCACTTTTTACAGTGTTATCTATCTTATCTATAAGAAATATTCTTTATCTTTTAATTTTAGGTCAAGTGTCAAAGAACTTTTTTATAAACAATTCAGTCAAAATTGTAGATCAACCTTTTTTTAATCATTCTTAAAACGTATTGTAAACGAAAATGACATGTCCTTTCGTTATTATGCAGGATAATCTTATATACTAAACTTACAAAAAAAAATAACTACTCTAAAACTATAGTTAACCGGGCAACGTACTTAGCTATTACATCTATCTCCACGAAGCTTGTGATCCGTCCGTTAACAATATATACATTGATCAATGAACCAATGATTGGTTTAATTCACGATATCTATAACAAACTAAGTTCGCAGTAGTAAATACAAGACGTGCTCATAAAAAGGACATAGTGAGTACATCGTCGCGTATTTCCGCAACTTCCTATTTCCTTAAGACCATATAATACGAGTACACGCAATGATCATTCGTCTTCTATTCCTTATTTATTATTGCATTTACACCTTTCCGACTCAATACATCGTCATCATCATCATCATCATCATCATCATTGTCAGCCTTAAGTTGTCCATTGCTGAACGTAGGCCACCCCCATCTACACATCTTAATACAACTTCATTATAGCTTGTCCCATCTTTTTGACATTACTTAAAAACGTACATCAATATAGATTATTTTAATGAATTCAATAAGAAACGTAAGCCTAATCTGTTTATATTTTTAAAGCCAATAGTGACAAGCAAGCGGCCTTTTAAATTCGCCCATATACTATGTAATGTAACTTATAGACCTCTTTTTGATGCGTTACCTTTTATCGAAAGAGGGGAAGCACAGAAAGATTCAATAAAATTCGCATTAAAGGAGTCCATCCCATCCTTTTCAGGCCTAAAATAGCGTTATAGGGGGGGTTCTTCTATACTAATGTTATAAAGAGGAAAGATTTGTATTTTTATGTTTTATTTTATTTTTACAACTCAAAAACTACGATGCCGATTTCAAAAATTCTTTCACCATTAAAAATATACGTTTTAACTGAGTTACATGGGCTATGTTTTTATTATATTAAATTTCGCGAGGATGAAGTCGTGAGCAACAGCTAGTCTATAAATAGGTTGTAATATTCGTGTTAAAGGGGGTAATTTCTATAAAGTGGTATGAGTTCACGTTATACGGTTTACTGTAAAACATTTACTACATAGAGCATTGCTAAATTACAAATTAAAAAAAAAAACGAATATGAGAAAGTAATGCGTATGAAAACAAACAGTTAGTTTGTAGCAAGCGGAGCCTGGGTTAAGGACCACTGATAAGGCGACAAAGTAACCGAGTACGTTGAATATGCAATCATTTCAATTACATGTAGGGATTTAATTAGTTCTCTGTAATATAAACAATACGATAAACCCCCACAAAGTTGATAAAATATAAACATTATTTATGGGCTTCTGGAATTTTCTCCGGAAATGAGTAAGGCAGAATAACCAACCAGTAAATTCAATTAAGACAAGTATTATTTTCTTATGAGTAAAGCTTAAGTGAACTATAATTCGCAAGAAAAGAGAAATGCTATTTCTGTACGTTCCTCTTTCCACTTAAGGTAGCTAACAACTTGTTGGAACTTTTCTATGGGCAGCGGTCGTTTCCCTATTTTGAGATTGAGAGCCGTTTGCTCGTTATTGACCTCATTGGAAAAATATGTGTAAAGAAAAAAGAGATGTTGTTCTTGGCTTAGTAATGTAGATTTAAAATTCAAGGCCAACAAGATGTCTGTAAGAATAATAACCATCGATATCTGAATGTTTTTAAAGCAAAATTTCCATATGTTAATTTGGAGGATATGTTTTTCTTCGACATTTTATAGCTCACAGTTAGGTCGATAATCTATACGTTAGAAGTATTTTAAATATGAACTTTATAAAACTGCCAGGAATATATTTCACGACTTATGAACGAATTAATTTTTGCCCGCGACTCCGTCCGCGCGAAAATAAGAAAAAAAACAAATGCAAGTAGCCTATGCGGTCTTCCAAACTATCTCCTACTTCTATGCCAAATTTTATCAAAATCCGTTGAGCCGTTTAGGCTATAAACTATAACAAACATCCGCCCATCCATCCATCCGTCTAAACATTCGCATTTATAACATTAGTATGATTAAAAAAATGATATAGTGCAAAATCTTGACACTAAGGTTTATGCTATTATAGCATAGTACAATAAACTGCATAAAATCTCGTGTGTTTTAAAAAATCTCCCTGTCAACAAACAAAAGTGCGCATTACTACATTTCTAGTTAAGCAACTATTGACAACAGATGGCGCTGACAACAATTGTTAATTTATTTTCATTCGATTAAAAGTAAAAGGATATTTGTATTAAAGAGTAACATATTCTTTAAGCTATTTTATTAGAAAATTATAATTGTTTAAGCTGCAAAAATATTGTGCATGAATATTTAATATCATACTGGCCGCCAAGAAACCGTCATACATAATTTGAATAAAAAAAAAACAACGAGGATTTAGGCGCGAATGAGAGTGCAAAATATGAAATAAGCAATGTAACAACGTTTTTATTTTAATAATTCAATTTTACTAATTTTTGTATGTTGTGTTTGTGTGTGTGTGTTTATCTGCAAAAAAGAAGATTTTATTAATGGCGCTGGTTTACAATTGTACATTTCTATTTTATTTTAATCCTATAAGAAAGATTGGTTTATTTATATTTTTGTATTTCACGTAAAAACTACAGGACCGATTTCAAAAATTCTTTCACCATCAGAAAGGTAATTTATCTGTGAGTAACATAGGCTATGTTTTTTTTTTATTTCACGCGGGCGATGTCGCAACAGCTAGTTACAAATAATATATCTGTACCAGTGTAAATACCATAAACCATTAAAACAAAATCGAATCGCTGTATTCATTTATTTCGTTGACGAAACTTTGGAACTGCGCAAAACAAATTGAAGAGCAAATTAATTTATTTATCTAAAATGTCGCAGAGATGTCAATAAGAGATTATCGTTGAAAACGTGTTGTGATAAAAAGACACTTATTATGCTAATGAACTGGTCTTCCATTAATACATTCTTGCTAAGTTGTTTATCAATAATAAGCCGGCTTCGATAGCAATGAACTATCGTCACAAATCGGGTTTACTGACGTTCCTTATGTTGTACTTTTACTTTATTAACTAGCCTCGTAAGTCGCTACCATTTTTCTATATCGTAAACTGGTAAACGAGTAAGCGGCCGCCTGAATCCGCCATGTCGAAGCGATCGCTGCCCATAGACATTCAGTGCAAAATTTTGTAAGTTAATATGGTTAAATGTGTAAAGTGTAATAAATTGTTAAACAAGAAGAGCCCAGGATTGCAGTGCGCTGAATGTTCGAAATGGATTCATGG